AGCCCTCCCAGCGGCCATTTTTCAAATGACATCCCTCACCTTCTTGGGGCTCTTCTGACTAATTTTCAATCCCATTTTTGTCTGCTTTGCCCCCAGATGGGTGCCCCTGAATCTACAGAGATGATCCTGGGCCATACTGACACAATTCCACCATTTCTTGGCCCAAACAGACCCCTCTTTTTGAAACGATCTCTGGGGGGTACTTTTTGTGCGCCTCCGCCTGGCGGAGAATTTTCCTTGAATTGGGACACTGCACCCTTCAATTTTCAACAAACTGTCCTATATTGAACCATGGATGGCGTTGTTGCACAACATAGAGTTTGTACACACGTTGTCCGGCATAATGCGTGAGCAGTCTTCAACTTTGACCGAGAATTACCAGAACGAAAAAAAAATCAGACTAAATTTTCCCTTCTGTTCGATCGCAAATATACCCAAGTGTGCAAATATTGAATAATATTTCATAATTTTTTCCAGTTTAGACTAAAATCACGTGACATGAAATTAAAGGAGCAGTTTTCCTGCACACGTGTTTCTAGCCCATTGACTTTGTACACGTTTTCTAGCCACAATTTTGGTAACTTTGCAGTGTTTGATTGTTCCCAAAGTGATAGCCAACAAAGACCCTGATGCAAGATTTATTGCAAAGGGTGACGTCATGATGACTTCATCACCTTATTTTATATTCATTTTTGAATATTCAATTTTTCCCCATAGGTTTTGTACACGTTTTTCTACTTAACACAAGTGAACAAGTAGTCTTTAACTTCGGCGCAAGACTACTATAAGATCGAAGGAGAAATCGGGTACTTTACGCTCTGTTATTTTATTTGAAATATGCCTAAGAGTCGGAATATGAAGTAATATTTCATAAAAATTGTTCAGTTTAAGCGCAAATCACGTGACATGAACTTAAAGGAGCAGCATCTCTGCAGACGGGTTTTTTGCCCATTTAAACTTTGTACACGTTTTTGAGGGACAATTTTGGTAATCTTGCAATGTTTGATCGATGGCAAAATAATAGCTAGCAAAGACCCCGATGCAAGATTTAATGCATAGGGATGACGTCATGATGACATCATTGCCTTATTTTATATTCATTTTTGAATATTTAACTTTTCCCCATAGGTTTTGCACACGTTTTTCTACTTAACACAAGTGAACAAGTAGCCTTTAACTTCGGCGCAAGACTACTATAAGATCGAAGGAGAAATCGGGTACTTTACGCTCTGTTATTTTATTTGAAATATGCCTAAGAGTCGGAATATGAAGTAATATTTGAAAAAAATTGTTCAGTTTAAGACCTTGATGCAAACATACGTCCAAATTTATGACGTCGTGATGACGTCTTTATGTGATTTATTATTGATTTTTTAATATTTATTTCAGCTCATTGACTTTGTACACGTTTTCGAGGCACTATTTTCGTACCTTAGTAATCGTTGATCATCGTCAAACTTACAGCACGAACTAACTACACAACAAAGATAATTCTAACATATTTACGTCATGATGACGTCATCAAGTGATTCATTATTAAATTTTGAATATTTAAATGTAGCGTGAAATATATCAAAATCCATATAAAATCAACCGTGGCCTCAGCAACATTCAGTTTGTGATAAGTGCTAGAATAAAATGTAGTCTTGATTTCGTCTCGTGTAGGTCAAAAACATGACCCTTCCTTCCGGTTTAAACCGGAAGTATGCTTATTGTTTAAAAGTGGTAAAAGCTGTTAGGTGTTTTTCAACAGAATGCGTCTGTCGGTGTTAGTGCTGGGTTGAAACCCTGCTTATATCCTGGAGAGGTAGTGCTTTAGGCAAATATTGAGCATATTTAGTAATGATGACGTCATCAGGAGACAAGTCACGTGACATTGAAGGGGATCTCTTCAAACCACTATACCTCGATAAGTACAGGTCCGATGCGGTTGAAACTTTGTGTGTGGCTGGAAATAGAAGGGTTTTAGACCCAAATTGATTTGATTTGATTTGATTCTGATCTCATCTGGTGACAAGTCACGTTACATTAAAGAAATACAATTCTTGTAACTGGTATCACATCCACTCGTGATGACGTCAACAGTCGAAGAAGTCGTATATGTTATCTTTAAGTAAGTATTATAATTTTTAAGCTATTGTGAGAAGCTCCACAAAGTCCAAAGCAAACTCTCAACCGTGAGAATAATATCACGTGACAAGTTATGTTAGATTATTTTCTGAAGTGGACATCCAATTGCATTGGTTGAAACTGATTATAAATGAAACTTTTTCGGGGGTATATGTCACGTCCAGACTACTAAATTGTTCATTTTTACTCTCTCATAGTTTGAGGTTTTTTCATCACAATTGCCAATACTTATTTTGTGGGTGTAACAGTCCCGAAACAGCTCTGTGTTTGTACTTTTTTACAAACACTTCTCTCTAGTTTATCTATTTTTTTACCACCTGACTTTGAGGTTTTGAACTCAAAAGTACTTCCGACAGTGCCATTGGAACATTAAGTGAGAAAAACACGCACAGCGCTGGTGCGGTGGCACGACGGGCTCATTACAATGGCGCTCTCGCTTAGTACCCTCGTTTTTTTCCCATTTTCTTATTATTTCTAACAGCATGTGACGATCCAGTTGTCAACAAAATAGCAGACCGTAAACAAAATACACGTACATGTACATCCAACTGATGAATCAGCCTGGCTTCGAGAGGTGGTATATCCTAAAAAAAAGGCATTTTGAATGACGTTGTACAACGTCTTTTCCAGCGGTATCTGCCTTTTGAGCATCGTGCGTCACGCGTACGGTATGCCGCCGGCGTTCGTTACGACTATAATCCAAACCTAATACGGGCGATTCACAATAGTGCCAACGCACTGGCCAATCACAACGCGCAAAATTTGTCGACCCTTTCCAAACGCGCTTTGGATCGACAAATTTCGCACATTGTGATTGGCCAATGCATTGCAAACTCTTGGGGGCGCACCATTGTGAAACGGCCGTATTGCTCACTGGCGCGGTAACGTCACTGTAATGGCTTCTGATTCTGGTCGCATAATTAGTGTGTGTATATGCACATCCATGCTCTAAAATGCTCTAAAAAACTTTTTTCCTCTCCCAGTGGCGGCACAATGTTTTTGTTGACATAAAGCAATGCCAGAAAACTGGCACCTTCACAGCTGCTTTGGAAAAATTTACAAACTGTCAAAATTAGGGAAACCGTGTGTTTTCCCAGTGTGAATAATGAAGGTAATGAATATTGTACTCACTTCTCTACGAACTGCATGGTTTTTATCTATTTTCAGTCCTGTAAAAAGTTGGCAGAATTCAAGGGTCTAGGATAGTTACAATGCTGATGAGGGAGCCTGTGAAGTCTTTCTACTCCAGTCCTATAAAAGACAAATATGGCATAAGTGCGACCATCTATTATGTTTGTAATGGTTCTTGGCTTGTGCTAATCAATTTTTATGGCCATGGATAAATAAGGCCTGTCCTTGGGTACGGTAAATGGACCAGTTTGAATTATAAACTGAGCAGAATCATTTTGGGGAAAAGTATTTATTATGTTTATGGATAATTAATGCCTGTCCTTGAGCAAGGCAACGGCATTCTCTAAACTTTCCCCGAGCAAAAACAAATAACAAGGAATACCATTTAACTACAATGAAAAGCACGTTTTTTTAAAATGCACTTCACTTGCAGAAGTAGAGGTGTCACAACGCTAGTGGACCGAAAATCTGACGAATTTATGACAATCGGAAAATGCTCATTCTGCCGAGACAACCCTGTGAATGACTAGACGACAGTCCTATATTGTACCCAGGGAAATACAGGACCCTCTTCTAGTCACTCGT